AGAAGAAGACCCAAAAATCAAGAAAACTGAAAATCAAAGTTAGAACAGAAGACATAGGCTATCAAATACCTGGTATGCCTTCTTCGTAAGGGTAGCGATAAGATGGAGTGACACCCGGCGCATATTCCCAGTTACCAGAGACGAACATCACGTCATTCTCATGGCCCTTGTTTGAATCTGGAAGGTGAGTTACCAGATATCTCTCCTTCTTCCTCAACGATAGTTAGTAGCTATCTTCGACGGCCTTTATGACGTAGCAGTACAAAATCTCCCACAGCCCCAGACTCAAACCAAGAATTTGTTCAAAGAAGACACCCCCATGACAATCCTAAAAAAGTTAAGGCAACACCGAAGAGAGCAGAGTTTCGCAGCAGAGAGAACCCAAATGAGAATAAGGTCAAGAGGAAAATGAATCCCACCTTTGGTAATGGCACGTGTAGGAATGGGGATTCTCTCTCTTGTGCCAATTAGGGGCTCATCCTTTCCAACAACCCTAACCTCAACATCATCTGGTATGTTATACTTGATTTTGAAAACAGGAATTTTTGAGGGAGTAAGAGGGACCATTGAAGAAGACGAAGTTCATAGGAAGAAACTAAGCTTAGAAGCAAAAAGGCGAAGTGAATGAAACGAAAAGAAAGTATGGTGTATAGAGAAAAGGGAAGTTTAAAGGGCAACATTTAAATGCTCTGAATGTGCCACCAAAACGAAAAGGCAGGTTACAAAGTACAAGTGATGATGAATCGATAAGAAAACGACTGACATCCGAAAAGTGTGTGTCAGACGTTTTCTGGGAACAAATGAAAGGGTTAAACCTCATGATTACACGTGACACAGCATTAAATGTGCTCACATGATATTCAAAAAGTCAGTCACGTGATGAAGGATCGTCTATTAAGAGCTTTCCAATCGAGCCAAGTCCGATAAAGTATTCAGCAAGGCAATTGAGGAAATCGGTTTGTGCCAAACCAAGTTCCTTAGTCTGTTCGGCAAAAATCAAGTGTGCTTAGCATTTGATATGTCCGAGCTATTTTGGATAAATAGAAGGATTAAAATATGCCTATAATTTAAGCAATCAGATAAACGAATCAACAAAATTGTAGATATCACGAGGAATTATTGAAAAATGTTAGCAACTTCCCAAATTGAATGACTGAATTGAAGGAAGGTGCGCCACCTTGAACCTAAAATCGTGGAAACCCTAAGGGGATAATGATCTATAAAAAGCATAAGAGACCAAGGTGAAAGGCACGCTGAATTCTCCTAGACTTACCACAATTTTTTCTGTTTCATTACTAACTTAAGCTTCGGCGTGCTTCGATGTTGGACAGTTTGTTCGTTTTGCGGGAAAGAGTTGAGGAGATAGTTCAAACTTTGTTCCCATAAATCGTATCACAAATTTACACAGAGGTATAACCAATTTTCTGCCTCTACAATAATTAAAACGATAAAAATTTGAAAATTTGTCTGCAAACTATACCTAAACATTAATCAAACCAAAATAAAACTCAAAACATAAGAATTTTTATTTCCATATTCATTCTAATTCGTTTCGATTTATATAGAAACGAAAATATTTTCGACGTTATAAATGTATTGATAATGAACATTCTTATACCGGGCATGATTTGGAGGTGATCAAGCCCCTGTTTTTCGAAATCGGCGATAATTTCGTAAGCTTTTCGCTGCTTATCGGGGCTCCAATCCTCAATGTGTTGCAAAATATCAATTCCAGAAGGGCTTCTGGATTTTATAGAAACGTACTCATCTTCTCCGAGCACCGCCTTGTACATTGCCTGGAAATCGATGACGGGGACGGTTAGGGTTCCGTCCATGTCGAACACCACTCCCCTCAGTCGGGGCTTGGGAGTAAGGGAGGTAACGGTGACGGGAAGAGAATTTGTTCCCATTGACGAAAATGACCTCGGGAGTACGGAGAGAAGCGCTCTGGAGAGGGGTAGTGGCATTCACATAGATGGAATGAGTAAAAAGTAGAGATGAAGAGAGTGGTGACTGTAACTGACAAAGACAACTAAATTAAATTCTACCAGACGACAGAGGTAAAGGAAAATTATACTTTGACCTCCTCAATTATGACTCTTTTTAATATTGTCCACTCAATTATCATAATTTCAAGTGATAAGGTTCACATTACCACAATAGTTGACATCCATTAAAATTACAAAGAAATGTAATTTTATTTGACCCTTTCAACTATATAATTTTTTGTATTTTTCTCTAATAAGTTGGCAATTCCTACACAAAAAAAAAATAATAAAACTACAATGGTATATTATTATATATATTTTTTAAGGGTTAATCTCATTTTGTACCCCGAAAGATTGTTCGAATCTCAATTTACACCCTCAAAAATTAAAAATCTCAATTTATACCCTCAAAGATAGAAATTTGTATCAATGTGCACCCCTAAAGATCAAAAATCTCAATTTGCACCCTCAAAGATAGAATTTTGTATCAATGTGCATCCCCAAAGNATTTGTATCAATGTGCACCCCCAAAGATCAAAAATCTCAATTTGCACCCTCAAAGATAGAATTTTGTATCAATGTGCATCCCCAAAGATAAAAAAATCTCAATTTACACCTTCAAAGATAGAAATTTATATCAATGTGCACCTAAAATTAAATTAATAAATTATACCTTGATCCCCTCATGTTTGTCACTTAATCATTTGAACTCCTTCACATTTAGAATATTTCTCTTACATCTCATGACGTTTATGCATGTATAACACATAACCACTTTTCGTTAATATATATTAATATAATCGTTAAAAAATATGATTTTATCCTAATATAAAATTATAATTTTATATTACCTTTTATTTTGTGGATTCGATATACTCTAAAGTTGAAAATCAAGCTTACCATTTGAATGTCTAATAAAATGTAGATATTTATATAAAAGGTAATATGTAAAATATTATATAAATATTTATATTTTATTAGACATTCAAATGGTAAACTAGATTTTGAACTTTATAGTATATTGAACCTATAAAATAAAGGGTAATATGAAATTATAATTTTTTATTAGGATAAAATTATATTTTTTAACGGTTATATTAATAGATATCAATGAAAATGGGTTACGTGTTATACGTGCACAAATGTCATAAGATGTAGGAGTAATATTCTAAATGTGAAGAGGTCTAAATGATTAACTGACAAATATGAGGGGATTTATGTATAATTTATCAAGTTAATTTTAGGTGCACATTGATACAAATTTCTATCTTTGAGGGTGTAAATTGAGATTTTTTATCTTTGGGGTATACATTAACATAAATTTTTATCTTTGAGGGTACAAATTGAGATTTTTGATCTTTGGGGGTGCACATTGATACAAATTTCTATTTTTGAGGGTATAAATTGAAATTTTTGATCTTTGAGGGTATAAATTGAGATTCAAACAATTTTTCGGAGTGCAAAATAAGATTAACCCTTTTTTTAATATAATAAAATGAATGTACAGAAAAATTACTCTATAATAATCTACCAAAAAATATTGTCCTTCATGATCACGAGAAAAACATTTGTTATGACAATTATATCATGTCATAGTATAACCATCTACTGATAGTATAAGTAGACAAGTGGATCTCACATAAATAATTATTGAGCAATATTATACGGACTTAAAAAGTATATTTAAAAATTAAATTTGATAATCTCAACTATTGATTTTACTGTGGGTCTCAGCATTTATTGGGACACATTATCTATTCAATGGTTGAGATTATCAAGTATAATTTTTAAATCTAATTTTTAAGTCTATCTAGCATTACTCATAATTATTACATAACAGTGATAGGTAGTTATTTAATTATATATGATTCACTTATTATTTATTATCCTATCATTTGAAAGTTACACAATGGTATAATTATTGTAAAGAATATTTTTTCTAGTATCACGTAGTTATTTATGAGAGATTCATTGCACTTACATTATGGTTGTAGTTAAGGTCCTAATACATGTTGGAGGCATTAAATAATAATTGTAATAATTATACAGGTTCAAACTCAAATATTTAGCGAAAAATTTTTTAGTTCTTACTTAATGAATAGTGTATATTGATAGACGCTTGGCCATAAAGAAGAGTATTTCACTCAAATCCCTCGCATGAGATTTAGTTATACAATAAATCAACATCTTTTTGAAAAATTATTCACTGCAATCCATCGGGGCATAAACTCACGATAGGTATGAGTTATGGGTAAAAGTATAATTCATGTGTTCCACACTAAAAATGATAAAATTAGAATAAACAACGCATGTTATTGAGGAAGTTATAATTTTTTTTTGGAAGCAAAACATTATTTGAACTTAATGTAGAAATATAATTAAATATAATTAATTGATTAAAAAATGAAAACCATTTAACATTAAAATTCACAGTTAATTGAAAAAATATATTAAATTAAATTTCCAAATTAAATTTACTGTTTTTTTTAATGAATTATTAAAAACATAACTCAATTTTCTCAATATAATTTCGATAGGATAATAGTTTTTTTAAAAGATAAGTTGATTTATTGGGAATCTATAATATAAAACATAACAGATTTTAATTAGTCAATTCGATAATTTCAAATAAATTTATTTAACGGCCACCAATATCTCTTTTAAAAATCATTAAGATTCATATTCACGTTACACAGGTTACCCTAGAATTGATATAAAAAAACATGGGTATAAGTCAACCGAAATCTTATTATACACAAATAAAAAATGTTATTTATAACTAATTTATTATAGTCACTAAATTTGATTGATAGCGGGTCTCAACTAACGGTGGGATCACAAAACACGATGGCAAGAAAGAGAATCTAACGGTCATGAACTCGGTTGTACAAAAGTCTCCATATGAAGATTTCACATCCGATCCCTCCCCGGGGCCAAGCTGCTAATCAACGATAAAGAGCGAAATTGAACAAGAAGTTGAAATTCGTGGCCCAGAGGAAGCGCTCTTTCCAAATGGAAGTATTCGGAGGCTCTGCTTCTACTTCGGCTTCGTTATCTCCATCGTTTGGAGTTTACGATGTCCACAGAAACGCTAATTTCTCTCCCAAGGTACTCTTTCAGTATCACTCTCTGTTTGGTTGCTGAGAAAACTGAGGAAACCTAAAAAATAAAAATAAAAAGTGAAAAAGAAGAGAAATAAGTGAAGAAAGCTGTGGATATTATTGCTTGATCTTTAGATTCTGAAAGCATTATACTTTCGTGCATGTTCTGGATTATCAAAATGGATATAATTGTTCGTACAAAATTAAAAAACCTGAATATTAGTTAATTGTGTTTATGGGTCTTTCCTGATTCGATGACTATTGAAAATTATGCTGTACATAACAGAAATATTGTTATTGCATTTGCAAAACGTTATTAGAAGTGAGCTCTATCATGTTTGCAAAGTTTTGTGTGGTATTAGGATGTCTAAATGTTCCTGTAAATATGCTTAGTTGGACACAAGCGTAAGAAAGATCAATTGTGTTTAGAAAAGCAGGCCATTAAGAAGAATTGGATGAGGATAAAATGGATGGAATCAACATACGGATGATAGAAGGTGCTTGATAGCCTTTCTGGTAGAGTGTTTAGTACACACCAATGACCTGGGATGAAATCCCTCTGTTGGGTTTGAAGGGATTTTATGTGTTAGGGTAGGTCTACCCTTCCTGCGTAGCATTGCTTTTGTAGCCCAAAACTAGGCCTGACAATTCCTAGTACGATCAGCCAAATATACTCAATCGACTCAAAGTTATCGGATATGAGTTTTGCCAATTGTTTTAAAAACTGGCCCGGCCCGGCCCGGTGGGTTAACTCAGAGAATTGTCCAACTAGCACCTGAACTATGCCGGATTTGAAGTTGGATCGTTCAAGCAATTCACCCGCCTAAGACCTGTTCAAACTGGCCTAAACCAGATGAATTTTATAAATTCCGTTAAAAACGGACGATTTTCTCAAATCCGGACCGGACTTTAAAATATTTAAATTTTCACTACCTATCCACTTGGACCATCTCATTCATAGCAATTTGATCCAAGTTATTTGCCCAGCCCAATAAAAGAAATGAAGTGCTCTTCTTATAAGGCCATCTCCACTCCTTACTCACATTTAAATTTGAGTAAAAATATATTAAAAATAAGTTCTAGTCTTTGGCTCAAATTTATACTAAATGAAGGGAAATTCAAACTTTTACTCAAATCAAGGCAGACTCAAACTTTTATTTAAATTTCCAGGGGTTAGATTTTACTGTTTTAAAAGATCTAAACATTCTTTTAAATTTGAGTTTGTCCTTCTTTAAATTTGAATTTGTCCATCGGAGTGTTTTGTATCAAATCAAGTTTTTTACTCATTTTTTTACTCAAATTTGAGTTTGAGCTTGGGTTAACATTGGAGATGCCCCAAGACAAACACTTCTCTCCTATTGTGGTTACTTTCTGATGTGGGATGTCAGGTAGTGAGATTAAATTGTCCAAGTTCTTCTGATATTTTTTCAAAGCCTTGTAGTATACTTTTGGCTATTTTTTTTCTTTTTATTTATTTTTTCTTTTTTATTTTTAGGGTCATCACATTGTTACTATTTATGTGAGCAAATTAATGACTTAGGGATATTTTTTTGTCATTTTAGTTCATCTATTATAACATAAAACATGTTATTGTTGTAACTAGTATAATCTTTTAACATATTCATTAATATTATAATTTTTTTTATTATTTATTATATGGCTGGTTCGATTGGTTAATCCACGGTTGAACCAGTAATTCATTGACTCGGTCCCTTAACTAGGCTGAGGTTTGGGCCGGATTTAAAAACTATGATTTTACCTTACGAGTTCTAGTCACAACTAGGTTGACCTGCCAAACCCGTTTAATAAATGGATTCACATGAACTCGGCTATACACAATTCAGATTTTCTTATGCAGGACACGAACCCTGCCATATAAGACCATAACTGAGTCATGTATGGTTGATCAAATTTTAATACAAACAACTTAGACATGACATGATCCATTGCATAAGATAAAATGAGGGGAAGTCGACACCTTATTAGTCTTTGACACACAATATAATTGAATGATCCGATTGAAGTAGAAGGTGCAACAGAATGGTCAAGTCTAACCTAGTTTGAGGCTATGAGCAAGCATTTGATTGCCTTGCAGTTGACTGAAGCTGTATGCTTGAAAAGAGCACATTGTGGATGGCTCCAAGTAGCATCAAATCCATTTTTGCTGCTGATTGGAATGTGGATTCATTTGTTGGAAAGAAGTACGTGCTAACTGTTATGAGCTGATTTTCCATGCCAGCACAATGAGTAGTCTGGTCAAACATCCTCAATTCTGATTCTGATATATGTTGGCGTATTTAACAACAAAGGTTGGCAGCGATACCTGCACAATATGATATGATCATATGAACCTGTTTTGTGCATGATTTCCGAAGTTATTGGATACTGATTTAAGTCAGGGCAGTCATTGGATTTACAACAAGTGCCTAGTTTAACTGAAGCTTTATCTTTTGTCTTGGAGATGCACATAACTTGGATTTTCCACTACTTCGAACTGACATTTCTTTTGAGATTTCTGAAATCCAGATCATTGCCACTCTCTGAGCTAGAGTAACTTGTCAAAGAAAGTCATAAGTCTCATGAGGAGCTTGTGCTTATCAATTTGATGGATTCAAACTGGCAGTCCTTTTTTCTTATTATCCTCTGCTGATTGAATTGAAAAAGATTGTGTAACTTAACATCTCCTATTACTGGAAAGTTTCCATTACGGTTTTATGTCATATGGAGATTTTAAATGTTGTAAATAACATTTCAGTTAATGAATTTTCAATCGGACTAAATGCAGGTGCTGCCCTGGAATTCCCTATTTGTGATGACCATAGAAATTCGATTACGAAGTTCCCTCTCTTTTATAAGCAAGAAATCCATTGACCGACCAGGACGTTGTTACCCATTTTGCTACATAAAAGGAGATTACACACACAGATTCTTTATCCAGTCGGATTGGATGCAAAATAAAAGATATATATCTCAGCGTGGTTGGCTTTTGATCAGGAAATCTACGTCCAGTTTTCAGAATGCAGTGAAAGGTTTTGAAAACTTCAAAAATACCATCCCCGTTCTTTTTGTACGGCTTGTTGTTGGAGTATTGCTGTTTACAACATTTAGTATTGCTGTTAGCCAAACTCCTTCCTGTAAGTTAGAATATTCCATTAAATCAAATAATGTTTTGGCATTGGTTTGGAGTGAGAAGAACCTCTATGAGACTTCATTCTCTGTTACAACATTTAAATACTATCATTGTGCAGTGGCCCTCAGTGAAGAGAATCTCCTTTTCTTGGAGGCTTGGAGAACAATTGACCGTGCATACGTTGACAAAACTTTCAATGGTCAAAGTTGGTTTAGGTACAGGGAAAATGCACTGCGCAATGAACCAATGACTACACGAGAAGAGACATGTATGCCTTTTCATTTTTTGTTGTTATTTCGCTGTGGTAGTTTGCATGCATCCTACTTGTATCTGTATGCAGTTACAGAAAATTTGTACACCTCAAATATTCACCATCTTGGTAAGTTGGCATTAGGTCTGCAAACACAACAAATTATATTGATTTAATTTGTTTAGGTAGAACAAAGATCTGCACTGACCTCAGGGACTGTAAATTGCAATAATTTTAAATCATATTTGATAGGTATGTTTCTATGCTAATTTGAAGTGTTTACCAGTAGTGCTTCCAGTTATGGTTGTTCGGTGCCAAGTTCTTGTTTTACTTGAACCAAAATAATAGGACCTATAATGTTTTGTTCTTAATGCTATTTCGAATTTGGAATTACATACTAAAAAATTTGTTGTCTTGTTGATGGTCTAACCTATGTAATCATATTTATCATCCAGATATAGCCATATAGGTGCTTTAATTCATGACAGGCTTTGCACGGGCATGATTGAGGAAAGAAAATGTTGTCCTGCATTCAGTTGAATTAACACGTAAATAATGAAAGTGAGAACCTAAATTTGGTCAACCACATAAGGCTGTTGTGTCTTAATGTAACTCGATTCAATTTATCTCAATTGTGTAACCTTTTTTGACCTGTTCTAGGGGTCTGTACACTTCTTAAATTGCTTTTCCATCTTTTTAAATGTACCAGCTACCTAAATCCTGGTTCTGTGTTTGCATTTAGATGTGGCGATAAGGAAGATGCTTGCTACTCTAGATGACCCTTTCACCCGGTTTTTGGAGCCTGAAAAGTTTAAGAGTCTGCGGGTACGGGGATGTCTCTTCACATCTTTTTTTATAGATTACTGCATCTTTGGGTGAACTACATACCAAAATATGTATTAATATTATGTAGCAGTTCCTGCTTCAAAGGAATTTAGTGTTTTCAGATGTAATTCCTAAATTCTCTTAATGCGTTCTTTGAAGGCAGTCAGGAACACAAAGTGCTGTTACGGGAGTAGGTTTGTCAATTGGCTATCCCACAGGAAATGATGGATCTACAGCTGGACTGGTGGTGATTTCAGCTGCTCAAGGAGGCCCTGCGAATAGGGCTGGCATTTCATCTGGGGACGTAATTCTGGCAATTGACGATACGAGTACAGAAGTGATGGGCATATACGATGCTGCGGAACGCTTGCAGTGAGTTTTCTTCTATGCTTGTTACTTTATTTGCAATGTAAACTCTTCAAA